CAGGACACCGAAGTGTGGGGGACAGTTTGAAACATCATGGGAAACAAGCCTTACTTGCCACCTTGCGACAGCACCCACTACCACCACCAGGATCACCCGCTCGCAAACGAAAACGGAAACAGCCTGTGGGATCCACCAAGAAACGTAAACCCTTGTTTTGAGAGAAAGAGATAAAGACCCACCCCGATGGGAAAGGAGTTCAGTTCAACACCAGACACCGTACGGTCAAGACCTGTTGTGCAGACCTGTTGTCCAGATCAGCTGTCAAGATGATGCGCCGAGATGCCTGTGAATGCTCCAAGGCCCAACTGGATCTCTTTTCTGTGCCCCCCTGTGGTGACTTCCGTCCAAGAAGGTCAGTGGATTCGATACAGCCCTCTGGCACCCCCTTCGGTCGCGGGCCCCCTCCAATTTAACATTGCTAACCCTGTCAATGCCTACATCGATTTGAGCCAGTGTTACCTCCGCATCTGCCTCAAAATCAAGAATACAGATGGTACGAATGCAGTTCATGATGGCGATGGGGCACTCGCCGTGTCCACGGTGAACAACATGATGCATTCCCTCTTTCGTGAAGTGCGTGTACAAGTGGGACACAACCAACTGGAAATTACTCCTTCCATGGGTACCTATCCCTACCGAGCCTATTTGGAAACGTTGCTGAGTTATGGGAAGGCAGCCAAAGGGACCCATCTCCAGTGTCCAGGATGGTACACCGATGAAGCTGGAAAAATGGAGCACTTTAATGCTGTCGCCTCGAATGCCAACGCCGGACTTGTCGCACGACGAGGGGTCATTCTACCCACCCGAGACGTGGAACTGACAGGACGTCTCCACTGTGACCTGTTTCTCCAAGACCGGTACCTGGTGGATGGAGTCCCCATGAAACTAGAACTGATTCGCAGCCCGAGTGATTTCTACTTGATGAGTGCTGGAGACGTCGAGTGCCGATTTGAACTGACCAAAGCCGAGTTTTACGTGTGCCAAGTCAACATTGATCCTGCCATACGGGAACAACACGTGAAACACATGTCACCAGGAGTCACGGCCAAATATCCTTTGACCCGAGTCCAAGTCACAGCCAACGACATTTCAGGAGGAGGACGCGATTTCCACAAAGATCAACTGATTGGAGGCCAACTGCCCAAACGAGTGGTGTTGGGATTGGTGGACAATGATGCTTTTGCCGGCAGCAAGGAAAAGAACCCTACCATTTCAAGCACAACAACGTGACCAGTCTCAAGCTGAAACTCAATGGGCAAGAAGTGCATGGCACCGAAATCAAAGCTTACTTTCAGAACAACAGTGCCTCGCTCAAACAGTTGTACATGAACCTGTTCCGCAACACGGGACACCTGTGGCAAGAACATCCCTGCAACCTCACCCTGGACGAATTCAGGAACGGATTCACCGTGTGGGTGGTGGATCTGACGGCGGATCTGGGCGCAGATGAAGGGTATAACTACCCACGACAGACGGGCAAGTTGGGACTTGAACTTCAGTTTGCAGAACCCCTACCACACCCGTCACGCTCGTCTGCTACGAGGAATACTGGCGTTTTGGAAATTGATCGGTTCCGCAATGCTCTGATGGTCTAAGGATGGACGACGACAGTGGCTTGACGACCAAACACTTGAACGCCTACGTACAACAGGATCCCCTGCTGCGACCCCTCTACCAAGGTACCTTTGCCCGAGATCACTTTGCCACCGCCGTGCTGTGTGAACAGCAGGAGGGACATTATCCTAAAGCCTACATTGTCAACACGGACCCCAGCCATCTCCCAGGACAACACTGGGTGTGCGTGTATCGTCCAGTACCAGGTGCCATGGACTACTTTGACAGTTATGGACTCCATCCCTATCAACAGCATCCAGACTTTCGGATGTCATGACCTTCACAGGATGGCTCCAACAACAGTGGAATGGCCAATCACTTCAACCCTGGTTCAGTGCCTCTTGTGGGATGTACTGTTTGTATGTACTGGCTCATCGTGCCCGTGGATGGTCTTTTGACGAAGTGATGGAACAGTTTGATCCCTACGATACCCTCGTCAATGAAGAACGTGTAAGACGTTGGTTTCAACCCACACGTCTGACAGACAACAACGCTGGCCATGATCCACACCCCTGCCAAAGGACACAACCTTATCGTTCTGATGTTATGATGTTACAGTTCTGATGTTACAGTTATGATGTTACAGTTCATACCGTTTGTAAACAAAAGATCAGGGACGCCCCTAATCCTGTCTCTTTTGTCAAAGTGTTCTTGTTAGCGGGGGAAATAAAACGTTTGAAAAATGTCAACCTAGTGTTGTTGTTATTGTTGTTGGCATTGAAATGAACCTTTCTTTTGAGAGAGATGGATGGCCCTGAAAAGGGCCGTTTTTTTAGAGTGTACCTCACTCCAGGGACCACAGTTGGCACCTACATTGGCAGGGATGGATGGTCATCTTTGTTTTCACGGGGCACTTGCTCCCATGAGTTAAACGCCTGATATAAGTGTCCTTCAAGACAGTGCCACAGTAGACACATTGAAAGGTGGCATTGTACTCGATGGTGCCATTGGCGTAGACAGGTAGACAGCCATAACATCGTTGGCACTGCCATGCCGGTAAGGGTGGTGATGCTGTCTCCAAGGACATGAGTTCCAGATCCCAGTTTTCTCCAGACATGATTGCTGGTTGTAACACTGCTTCCACCACCCCTCTCATCATATATAGTGAGAGCTCACGATCATGACGTCACCGGTGCCACGTCATTACCCTCACGCGCGACCATGACGTCATCGATACCACGTCATTATCCTCACGCGCGACCATGACGTCATCGATACCACGTCATTACCCTCACGCGCGACCATGACGTCATCGATACCACGTCATGGATACCACGTCATCGACGACACGTCATCGCTGTCTCGTCGCCCATATATAAACTCCAGCATGGGTCAGTGAGGGCTATCTTGATGCAACATGGATACAAGAAAAGTGGAAATCATGCGACCGGCGCCTTACCGGAAAAATTGTGGTAGACGGCAATGCTTGCGGTGCAGCCCTACCTTACAAGGGAAGGCTGGCATCAAAATGGAAGAGGCAGCAACAACACCTACAGAACCGGTACCAACAACGGCAACAGAAGCAGCGGCAGCCCCACCACCTACGGCAGGAGACACGGTAGCCCCACCACCACCACCACCAACAACAACAACATTACCAAAATGGTCATCAAAATGGCGACTGATTATCTGCCCTACCTGTTTTAAAGCGTATCCCTCGAATCGCTTTGATGTCGTTCCAGGAGCTGCCTTCTACATATGCCTCTACTGTGGAGAAGGCATCATCAAGAGAGGGCAACAGCAACACGATGATGTGTGCCCCGGAAAATTTATTTTTCGGGGTCTCCAGCTCCTCTGTGAATGCTAACCTGCCTGGTTCACATACCAACGGCCCTTTTCAGGGCCACCCACCTCGCTCGAAAGAAGGCTACATCCAATGTTTTTTAACCACACACACACACACACACACACTTGTCTAGCCACGCCATCGTCCGCCTCACCCCCTCTCCCTCCTTCCCTCTCCTTTCCTCTCCTTCCCTTCCCTCTCCGTCCCGTCCCGTCCGCCGCTCGTCCGTTCCGCCATCTTGAAACGCGTCTACGCTCGCGAGATCCCGAGAGAATCCACGAGATCCCGCGAGATCTCACGCGATCCCACCGGATGGGACGCCATCTTGAACCGCGTCCGCCATCTTGGCCCGGAGGTGACGTCATCGTCATGCGCGCGCACCCACCGGAACCGGACGTGACGTCATCACCATGCGTACGCACACGCCGGAACCGGAACCACCGGAACCGGAACCCGAGTGATCTCCCCCCTGACCGGAAGTGACTGATCCAAGATGGCGGCGCCCAGGGGGACCGGATGTGCCGCCATCTTGAAAAAGACCCCAGGGTGACATGGTACACTACTAACCCAACATCACCTGCCTTTATCCGATGGAAGCGAGACTCGTACTCGGCTGTGATACGCAGTGAATCCTGTAGAAAGAAACTGAGAGAATATTACATGAAGACGATGACCAAACCCAACATCACCTGCCTGTAGCAGATGGAAGTGAGGCTCGTACTCGGCTGTGATACGCAGTGAATCCTGTAGAAACAAACAGAGGTGATATAACATGAAGACGATGACCAACGCAAACTGTGGATGCAAGAACGCAAAACTGATACTTGCATCAACAGGGTTTATTGTACAGCGACATTTGGAACTGCAGTTAAGGATACATTGACTTTTACTGAGGACTAGTGTTGGGAATTGGTTAAAATGTCATAATTGATAATTGGATCATTACATCCGATCAATCATCGAAAATAATTGGTTAGCGTCATTTATCAAAGTTCCTGTTATCTTTGTTAATGCACACAAAAAATAAAGAAAAAATGTAGTTCTTTGCTGATGTTTTTCGCCAATTTCAAAAAATGCATTAGCAAATTTCACATATTTAAAGGATGACTAGTAAGTTGAGAACATAAATTCCCTAGAGTTTTTAAGATAAATTGAATCATGACTTGTAGTCCTTTGAAATGTAAATTTAATGACACCGCCAAAACCAACCTTGTAAAAAATACTGTTGATGCAAACAAGTGTTTCACATTGTTTGTGTTCAATTATTAGAAACCTTGTTCGATTGCTTGATCGTTTAGTCCAATCTTCGATTATTTCAATTAATCGGACCATCACTACAGAAGGCTGGACATGTAGTTGTGTTGAGGAGTTGAGATGATGTAAATGGAATTAAACTTCAGATTAATAACAAAGTGTTTTAATTATTGGACCACCATGGATAAAGTAATTAAGCCCAGTTGTGACAACATAGCTACCAATTTCATTTTAAACAGTTCATACATTGAAATGTATGTAAAGAACTCTTGCATTTACACAAGCACTTGCCGATTCCATGTGACAATAGGTCAGTCAGGAGGATTGCTACCATGACACCTACCCTACTGATTCTTTCTTTGGTTGTATTGGCAATCGTTATTTCATTGAACTGCCACTGTACGTGTTGGAAAGGTTCCCCCCAAGTCCGAGTCCACTTGAAGATGGCAGCTCCATCACTGCACGCCTCCACTTTCTCCCGTCTATCTGCAAATGAATCCTGTTGATTATAGCTATACGTTCATATCTATTACGGTTATCCTCACTGTAGGAACTGTCCGTCACTCATCTAGCTCCTCGTGTATATTCCTCCGTCCGAGCTTCAGTCTCACTCGGGGCGCTGGGGTAGCATAGTGGTTAAAGCGTTATAGCCTAGTGGTTAAACTCACTCAATCACTCAATCACTCACTCACTCACTCACTCACTCAGAACCTTACCTCCATCTTTTCTGTCTATCTGCAAATAGTCCTACATGTACAAATATACATATGTCCCTTTGCACTCGAAAAGGATAAAGTAATGCCAATTCCATCATAATCATAACTGCATAACTGCATGTCTTGATATATATATTCTTATTATTATATTTGAGCGCCTCCGCGTGATATATATATAGACGTTAAAATGTGGTACTTGTTGGTCCCTGCCTGGCGCTCGGCATTAATGGGTACAACAAGGACTGGTCGGCTCGGAGTCAGTATAATGTGTCTGAGTGGGATATTCATGCTTCAGTGCGGCATGGTATCTCAGTGGGCTAGCACTGTAAAACCAGCTTCAGTCTGGGCTAGTACAAGCAGCCGCACATACTCATACACACTCATGCACGTCGTCATATGAGTGAAGTATTCTCAAGCACGACGTTAACCCCAATTTCACCTCACCTATTATTATATATATTATATTACTTATTGTGCTGGAAATTCATTAACTACTATTTCTTCATATTACTTCATAGTTCAATCTGCATGATGAAATTTCCAGACATAAAGTATATTTATATTTACATGAATGTCAACCGCTCTCACTACGACATCAACCATTACCAGTACGTCTCTCTTCTAAATCTCCTTGCAGTGTTATTCCTGTTCCGCTGCCCAATGTGACGATACATCTGTAGGTTCCTAGGTCAGCCCTCTTCAAGTTGGTGAGACTAAAACCAACATCACCTGGAGTTAGGAGGGTAAAACGGCCCCTGTAGTTCTGGTTGATACTGAGGGACTCCTTAAATGAAGAAAACAGATCTTGTCAGTTTACAGGCTACAGACAAAATATCTAACTCAATTTCTCACTTTCAGATGCAAGTATTTGTTACATCCTGTTCGTCTTACTGTATCCGTCTTATAGTTCATATTACCTGTGTCAGGTCAACAGTACGCTGTGTGTAATTTGCCATGAAAATGTCCTCAAACTTCCACTGGATGCGATATACTGATTGTACTTGGTACGTCCAGTTGAAACTGGCTTTTCTTTCATTGCAGTAAAAACACAGCGTCCCTTTGCTCTGTATCTCTGGTGGGGGATCTGCAAAATAGCAACGTATAGATGTATATTTGTTCACACACACACGTGTACACACATTTTATATACAGAAATACACGCGCACACCATGGGCACATGTCACCTATAAACTCACATACAAGTTTGACGTTCCATTCCTGATGGGGACCACGGATGGGGTTTCTCATTTTTACACGCACATTACTCATGCACGCACGCACGCACAAAGGAAACGCGTGTCTTGATTGTGTGCATATTACCTCACCCTGATAACAAAAGCGTTCTTTCATATGCCAGGGAGGCCCGTTCTGGGCTGTATTCAATGTGTGAAAATGGGGGCCCAGTAGGCTTGGCCAATTACACACGGACATATATTTCAGCTATTGTAGTTCGTATTTCCCCCTCAGACCTATACACAAATATAAAACAGAAGTGCCACTTTCATACAAATTTTAGAAATTACGACAAAGCCGAACATTTGTAAAAAAAGCAGTTGTAAAATCATTATATAGGGACATTGTAATAAAACATGTTCTTAGCCGTCAATACATTTATTACACTTATAACATATTCTGTCCTTAACATTTGAATTGATACATATGACTATTTAAATTCCTGGAGGTGCAACACAGCAATTACACGTGGTTTTAATATTAAAATGGATTGTAACATCTAAAGATAATGTAATAGTTTAAAAATTTAAAGTTGCTAAAATACAAAATATAAAAATCATATTAGAATTGCACTTTGAGTGCCATCCCTCCAACTTGTTTGACATACCTAAAGTAGACGTGATTCGCCATAGCTGGATCAGTACCACCACAGCTGTAACATAAGGGTATGATTCTGAAAGACAAAATATGTTATTTAGGTTACAAACACTACTTCAGCTTACTAACAGGCCAACAATATGTTAACTCATAGCATGTTAATGACCTGCATATCTTCCAAAAATTTATGTGAGGTCGACAAAATCATGCCAAATACACACGCACACATGTCAACACAACCGTCTTTGAATCAAACTCGGAGCTGCAACCAAACAGATGGAGGTTGGATATCCTAATCTGTCTCACAATGGCAGAACAATGCCGGTGCAATGTGACGTTATCCACAACCACATACCATATCAACTAGTGACGTTATCCACAACCACACACCATATCAACTAGTGACGTTATCAACAACCACACACCATATCAACTAGTGACGTTATCCACAACCACACACCATATCAACTAGTGACGTTATCCACAATCACACACCATATCAGCTAGTGACGTTATCCACAATCACACACTATATCAGCTAGTGACGTTATCTACAACCACACACTATATCAGCTAGTGACGTTATCTACAACCACACACGATATCAGCTAGTGACGTTATCCACAACCACACACCATATCAGCTAGTGACGTTATCCACAACCACACACTATATCAGCTAGTGACGTTATCTACAATCACACACTATATCAGCTAGTGACGTTATCTACAACCACACACTATATCAGCTAGTGACGTTATCCACAACCACGCACCATATCAGCTAGTGACGATATCCACAACCACACACCATATCAGCTCGTGACGTTATCCACAGCCACACACCATATCAGCTAGAGACGTTATCCACAGCAACACACCATATCAGCTAGTGACGATATCCACAACCACACACCATATCAGCTAGTGACGTTATCCACAACCACACACTATATCAGCTAATGACGTTATCCACAGCCACACACCATATCAGCTAGTGACGTTATCTACAACCACACACCATATCATCTAGTGACGTTATCCACAACCACACATTATATCAGCTAGTGACGTTATCCACAATTACACACTATATCAGCTAGTGACGATATCCACAACCACACACTATATCAGCTAGTGACGTTATCCACAACCACACACCATATCAGCTAGTGACGTTATCTACAACCACACACTATATCAGCTAGTGACGTTATCAACAGCCACACACCATATCAGCTAGTGACGATATCCACAACCACACACTATATCAGCTAGTGACGTTATCCACAATCACACACCATATCAGCTAGTGACGTTATCCACAACCACACACTATATCAGCTAGTGACGTTATCCACAACCACACACCATATCAGCTAGTGACGTTATCCACAACCACACACTATATCAGCTAGTGACGTTATCCACAACCACACACCATATCAGCTAGTGACGTTATCCGCAACCACACACCATATCAGCTAGTGACGTTATCCACAACCACACACATTATAAACCAGTGACATTATGCACCAATCACACCCTTTATCAACCAGTGATATTATGCACCAATCACACACATTATCAACCAGTGACATTATCCACCAATCACACACATTATCAACCAATGACATTATGCACCAATGACACACATTATAAACCAGTGACATTATCCACCAATCACACACATTATCAACCAGTGACATTATGCACCAATCAGTCATATTATCAACCAGTGACATTATGTACCAATCACACACATTATCAACCAGTGACATTATGCACCAATCACACACATTATCAACCAGTGACACTATGCACCAATCGCACACATTATCAACCAGTGACATTATGCACCAATCACACACATTATCAACCACTTCCATTATCCTTCTTTGACATTATCCATCCTCCACACACACTACCAACCAGTGACATAATGCACCAATCACACATTATCAAACAATGACTTTATGCACCAATCACACACATTATCAACCAGTGATATTATCCACCAATCACACACATTATCAACCTGTGACACTATGCACCAATCACACACATTATCAACCACTTCCATTATCCTTCTTTGACATTATCAATCCTCCACATGTAGAGATTTATTTGCTTTAATCTTTTATAAAGATTTTACGTGCGCTTCATGCAACTATCTGTAGCCTCAACATGGGGCAGATAACTCTAATCGCTGCGGTGACCTCGTGGTTGTGAACGGAGAGCTATGAACGATGAACGTCTGCTGCGGTAGACAACATTCTACTGTTTTACTTTGTACACCTACCTTTGTGGAGGATAATGGGCCTAAAATTTGTAAGCATTGTTTCTATTAGTATTGCAACACTTTTCAAGCAATTTTGTCAGGTATAATTAATTTTACTGGTAAAGTGTTGTCTGTAAACTTCAACATGACGAGCACGAGCACATGGTTCTGTGTCACCTATTTTCGTGCCACTATGAAATCATTGTTTTATTGGTCTTACACAGACTATTATGTAATATGTGTTTGTATATCATTATGTGCAAGGTTTTATGCTGGATATTTTAACTAAATGTTGTTTTCTTACTTCTTTAACCAGCTTGAACCTACTACACAGAATAGTCAACTCAAACAATAAACTCACGAGTTCACGATTAAAGGTCGCCCAGTTATTTATTCCCACAAAAAGTTCAAGAAATTTCCAACTTTAATCAACAAATATGTCTGTCTTAAGTGGATGTACAGATAAAGAAACTTTACAAGACACTGAAGACATGCAAAAAATTGAAATAATATCCAAGCTCCGAAAGGAGAGAGGAGGAATTGTGTCATACTTTAGTAAAATAGAGAAGGGAATAAGACTGATGAGACAGGAGGGCAACCCAAGTGCAGTTCCTCTTGAAGAAGAACTAGAACTTATGAAAGAAACATTAGACACAATTGTTGTGAAGTCTATGCAGTTGAAGGAATTAGTTGTCCATGATCCAGTGGAATTCAAGCAAGTTGATGAATATTATAATGCCCTCAAGGATAGATATAGTAAATTAGCAGCAGAAATTAGGGTTTTTATGGTCAAAGACAGTCAGGGGATTAAACCCGAAGATTCTGCAAGTCAGGTCAGCATGAAGTCGGTAGCATCACATGTGAAGGTGGCCGAAGCTAGGGCAGCAGCGCTTCGTGTGAGAGCCGAGGCTCTAAAGAAACAACAGTCATTGAAGCGTCAGGTGATGGAACTGCAACTGCAAGAGGAAGCCCTTAAGTTAGAAACAGAGATCGCCGCTGCTGAGGAAGAGACCAGCGCTTTGAGTGATAACGGGAGTACAGTTAAGAGGCCTCTTCCAGCTACATCCATGCTGAACCCCAGGACTGAAGAGTTTCAGCTGAAATCAGATTCTCTCTAAGTCACCCGATCAAACCAGAGAGAGAGCGTAAACAGGAGTTTACACAGCCACCAGTGTCTGAGAGTAGCAAGGAGATTCTGAACATGATTCATCTCCCTAGAGCAGACCTGATTAAATTTGATGGTGATCCACTCAAGTATTGGATTTTCGTCCGTTCCTTTGACAATAGCATTGGAACAACTTCAATAAGTGACACTGCCAAACTCACAAGACTCCTACAGTATTGCAGTGGCAAAGCACTTTCGGTCATAGAGTGTTGTGCCGTCATGAACCAAGACTATGGTTATAAGGAGGCAAGAAGAATTCTGCAGGAGCGATTCGTCAACCAGTTTGTTATTTCGCGTGCATGGATTCAAAGAGTCACTGAGAGACCAGTACTGCGGAATGGAGACAATGCAGCCTTGCGTCAGTATGCGGACTCGGTGAAGAGCTGTATAGTCACTTTATCAGCCATGGGGAGACTCACAGAGGTTGATAACCAAGACAGGATAAGGAAGATGACAGAAAAACTCCCGGTCTATCTACAGAACAGATGGAGAAATCAAGCAGTCAGCCATCTCAGGACACACAGACATTACCCAAACATTCATGAATTTGCTCAATTCATTGAGATGGTTGCCGATGAGGCTAACGACCCAGTCTTCGGGAATATTCGCTTTGACAACAGAGAGAGACCATCAAGAGGACACGATAGCAAGGGAACAGCCTTACAAACTGTCATGAAGTACAGAGACACTAGTCAAGTTGCAAGTTATGCTCTGGGGATCATGCCATCTACATGTGCAACACATTTAGACAAATGAATTCTGAAGATCGACTGAAATCCATGCAAGAAGAAAAATTATGTTTTAACTGCTTTGCTAAGAATCATGTGTCGTATGAATGTACCAAGGAAAGCATGTGTCGTATTGATAGATGCAACAAGAGACATTCAACTCTGTTACATCATGCCTTGCAGACATACAGGAAGATGCATTCTGGCGTGCCAGTGGAAAGTGAACTACCGAAGAGAACCCAACAGTTACGAGGGAACTCACACTCAAACCAACAACATCGTGGAACACAGACCTTCTCTACTCACCATTCAGTTCGTGATGTCAATGGGGCCGGCATATGTAGGGTAGCATTACCAGTTGTACCCGTTACAGTTCGGAAGAACGGAGAAGAGTGCTTAACAACCTATGCCTTCCTGGACAGTGGCAGTACGAATTCCTTCTGCTCCCAAGAATTATATGACCAACTCGGCCTGCAGGGAGCAAAGACATCCTTGTCTCTTATAACTCTGACAAATGAAGACTGTCCATTGGAAACTACCTGTATCTCGCTTGAAATTGCGGATCCGGAAGGGAATAAAGTGTCACAGACAGACGTTGACAACTGGCCACACATGCAGGACATACATTTGCCACAAGTCAATGAGTCAAAGATCTCTATACTCATTGGACAGGACAATCCTGGAGCTATAGCACCACTTGACATTAGAAGAGGGAAAATAAACGAACCGTATGCCGTGCTTACCGTTTTCGGCTGGACCCTGAACGGACCTTTGGAATATGGCAAACAGGGCACAGTAGTCTCCAACTACATTCAAGCTGATCTTACAACTTGTTTAGAAAGACTTTGGACATTGGATTCCTGTGGCATGCAGATGGATAACCGTCAGCAAATGTCCATACAA